AGAGAGAGACAGAGATAGCTGGGCTAGCAGCAGAGAGAGACAGAGATAGCTGGGCTAGCAGCAGATAGAGACAGAGATAGCTGGGCTAGCAGCAGCTAGAGACAGAGATAGCTGGGCTAGCAGCAGAGAGAGACAGAGATAGCTGGGCTAGCAGCAGAGAGAGACAGAGATAGCTGGGCTAGGAGCACAGAGGGCCAGAGATAGCTGGGCTAGCAGCAGCTAGAGACAGAGATAGCTGGGCTAGCAGCAGCTAGAGACAGAGATAGCTGGGCTAGCAGCAGCTAGAGACAGAGATAGCTGGGCTAGCAGCAGCTAGAGCCAGAGATAGCTGGGCTAGCAGCAGAGAGAGACAGAGATAGCTGGGCTAGCAGCAGAGATAGACAGAGATAGCTGGGCTAGCAGCAGCTAGAGACAGAGATAGCTGGGCTAGGAGCACAGAGAGCCAGATATAGCAGGGCTAGCAGCAGAGAGAGTCAGAGATAGCTGGGCTAGCAGCAGCTAGAGACAGAGATAGCTGGGCTAGCAGCAGAGAGAGACAGAGATAGCTGGGCTAGCAGCAGCTAGAGACAGATAGCTGGGCTAGCAGCAGCTAGAGACAGAGATAGCTGGGCTAGCAGCAGAGAGAGACAGAGATAGCTGGGCTAGCAGCAGCTAGAGACAGAGATAGCTGGGCTAGCAGCAGAGAGAGACAGAGATAGATGGGCTAGCAGCAGCTAGAAACAGAGATAGTTGGGCTAGCAGCAGCTAGAGCCAGAGATAGCTGGGCTAGCAGCAGAGAGAGACAGAGATAGCTGGGCTAGCAGCAGAGAGAGACAGATATAGCTGGGCTAGCAACAGCTAGAGCCAGAGATAGCTGGGCTAGCAGCAGCTAGAGCCAGAGATAGCTGGGCTAGCAGCAGAGAGAGATAGAGATAGCTGGGCTAGCAGCAGCTAGAGACAGAGTTAGCTGGGCTAGCGGCAGAGAGAGAAACAGAGATAGCTGGGCTAGCAGCAGCTAGAGACAGAGATAGCTGGGCTAGCGGCAGAGAGAGACAGATATAGCTGGGCTAGCAGCAGAGAGAGACAGAGATAGCTGGGCTAGCAGCAGCTAGAGCCAGAGATAGATGGGCTAGCAGTAGAGAGAGATACAGAGATAGCTGGGCTAGCAGCAGAGAGAGACAGAGATAGCTGGGCTAGCAGCAGAGAGAGACAGAGATAGCTGGGCTAGCAGCAGCTAGAGCCAGAGATAGCTGGGCTAGCAGTAGAGAGAGAGACAGAGATAGCTGGGCTAGCGGCAGAGAGAGAGACAGAGATAGCTGGGCTAGCAGCAGTTAGAGACAGAGATAGCTGGGCTAGCAGCAGCTAGAGACAGAGATAGCTGGGCTAGCAGCAGCTAGAGCCAGAGATAGCTGGGCTAGCAGCAGAGAGAGCCAGAGATAGCTGGGCTAGCAGCAGAGAAAGACAGAGATAGCTGGGCTAGCAGCAGAGAGAGACAGATATAGCTGGGCTAGCAGCAGCTAGAAATAGAGATAGCTGGGCTAGCAGCAGAGAGAGACAGATATAGCTGGGCTAGCAACAGCTAGAGCCAGAGATAGCTGGGCTAGCAGCAGCTAGAGACAGAGATAGCTGGGCTAGCAGCAGAGAGAGACAGAGATAGCTGGGCTAGCAGCAGCTAGAGACAGAGATAGCTGGGCTAGCAGCAGCTAGAGACAGAGATAGCTGGGCTAGCAGCAGAGAGAGACAGAGATAGCTGGGCTAGCAGCAGCTAGAGACAGAGATAGCTGGGCTAGCAACAGCTAGAGACAGAGATAGCTGATCTAGCAGCAGCTAGAGACAGAGATAGCTGGGCTAGCAGTAGCTAGAGACAGAGATAGCTGGGCTAGCAGCAGAGAGAGATAGCTGGGCTAGCAGCAGCTAGAGACAGAGATAGCTGGGCTAGCAGCAGAGAGAGACAGAGATAGCTGGGCTAGCAGCAGCTATAGACAGAGATAGCTGGGCTAGCAGCAGCTAGAGACAGAGATAGCTGGGCTAGCAGCAGAGAGAGACAGAGATAGCTGGGCTAGCAGCAGCTAGAGACAGAGATAGCTGGGCTAGCAACAGCTGAGAGACAGAGATAGCTGGGCTAGCAGCAGCTAGAGACAGAGATAGCTGGGCTAGCGGCAGCTAGTGACAGAGATAGCTGGGCTAGCAGCAGCTAGAGACAGAGATAGCTGGGCTAGCAGCAGAGAGATACAGAGATAGCTGGGCTAGGAGCACAGAGAGCCAGAGATAGCTGGGCTAGCAGCAGCTAGAGACAGATAGCTGGGCTAGCAGCAGAGAGACAGAGATAGCTGGGCTAGCAGCAGAGAGAGACAGAGATAGCTGGGGTAGCAGCAGCTAGAGCCAGAGATAGCTGGGCTAGCAGCAGAGAGAGACAGAGATAGCTGGGCTAGCAGCAGCTAGAGACAGAGATAGCTGGGCTAGCAGCAGCTAGAGACAGAGATAGCTCGGCTAGCAGCAGAGAGAGACAGAGATAGCTGGGCTAGCAGCAGAGAGAGACAGAGATAGCTGGGCTAGTAGCAGCTAGAGCAAGAGATAGCTGGGCTAGCAGCAGCTAGAGACAGAGATAGCTGGGCTAGCAGCAGCTAGAGACAGAGATAGCTGGGCTAGCAGCAGAGAGAGACAGAGATAGCTGGGCTAGCAGCAGAGAGAGACAGAGATAGCTGGGCTAGCAGCAGATAGAGACAGAGATAGCTGGGCTAGCAGTAGCTAGAGACAGAGATAGCTGGGCTAGCAGCAGAGAGAGACAGAGATAGCTGGGCTAGCAGCAGAGAGAGACAGAGATAGCTGGGCTAGGAGCACAGAGAGCCAGAGATAGCTGGGCTAGCAGCAGCTAGAGACAGAGATAGCTGGGCTAGCAGCAGCTAGAGACAGAGATAGCTGGGCTAGCAGCAGCTAGAGACAGAGATAGCTGGGCTAGCAGCAGCTAGAGCCAGAGATAGCTGGGCTAGCAGCAGAGAGAGACAGAGATAGCTGGGCTAGCAGCAGAGATAGACAGAGATAGCTGGGCTAGCAGCAGCTAGAGACAGAGATAGCTGGGCTAGAAGCACAGAGAGCCAGAGATAGCAGGGCTAGCAGCAGCTAGAGACAGATATAGCTGGGCTAGGAGCAGAGAGAGACAGAGATAGCTGGGCTAGCAGCAGAGAGAGAGACAGAGATAGCTGGGCTAGCAGCAGAGAGAGACAGAGATAGCTGGGCTAGCAGCAGAGAGAGACAGAGATAGCTGGGCTAGCAGCAGCTAGAGCTAGAGATAGCTGGGCTAGCAGCAGCTAGAGACAGAGATAGCTGGGCTAGCAGCAGCTAGAGCCAGAGATAGCTGGGCTAGCAGCAGCTAGAGACAGAGATAGCTGGGCTAGCAGCAGAGAGAGACAGATATAGCTGGGCTAGCAACAGCTAGAGCTAGAGATAGCTGGGCTAGCTGCAGAGAGAGACAGAGATAGCTGGGCTAGCAGCAGCTAGAGCCAGAGATAGCTGGGCTAGCAGCAGAGAGAGACAGAGATAGCTGGGCTAGCAGCAGAGAGAGACAGAGATAGCTGGGCTAGCAGCAGCTAGAGCCAGAGATAGCTGGGCTAGCAGCAGAGAGAGACAGAGATAGCTGGGCTAGCAGCAGCTAGAGACAGAGATAGCTGGGCTAGCAGCAGTTAGAGCCAGAGATAGCTGGGCTAGCAGCAGCTAGAGACAGAGATATCTGGGCTAGCAGCAGCTATAGACAGAGATAGCTGGGCTAGCAGCAGAGAGAGAGACAGAGATAGCTGGGCTAGCAGCAGCTAGAGACAGAGATAGCTGCGCTAGCAGTAGAGAGAGACAGAGATAGCTGGGCTAGCAGCAGCTAGAGACAGAGATAGCTGGGCTAGGAGCAGAGAGAGACAGAGATAGCTGGGCTAGCAGAAGAGAGAGACAGATAGCTGGGCTAGCAGCAGCTAGAGACAGAGATAGCTGGGCTAGCAGCAGCTAGAGACAGAGATAGCTGGGCTATCAGCAGCTAGAGACAGAGATAGCTGGGCTAGCAGCAGAGAGAGACAGAGATAGCTGGGCTAGCAGCAGCTAGAGCCAGAGATAGCTGGACTAGCAGCAGAGAGAGCCAGAGATAGCTGGGCTAGCAGCAGCTAGAGACAGAGATAGCTGGGCTAGCAGCAGCTAGAGACAGAGATAGCTGGGCTAGCAGCAGCTAGAGACAGAGATAGCTGGGCTAGCAGCAGAGAGAGACAGAGATAGCTGGGCTAGCAGCAGAGAGAGCCAGAGGTCCCCGTGAAGGACCCAGTGTAGGGGCACCTACCAATGGTGCAGTTATTGCTCCCTTGTGTTAATAATGCTGCCTCCGAGTCGTCATTCACCACACAACAAAAGTATTGATTCTCGAACCAATTCCCTGATGAATGTGAAAGGGAGTCCACGCGCGTTGTCTTGGTGAGGGAATTTGTATTGTTCCATTCAACACCAATGGCAACACCTGGAGGCCACTGACGCTGCTGTCGACGCTCCCAGAGCTTCCCACCTTTGTCTCACACCTCTTGATAAACCCGCTCTTCCTCTCCTCCTCATTCCCACCAATCTGTATCTCTTGCCAGCGCCTTTCTTTAATGATTCATCAGCGCGTGGTCCCCTTGCCCCTTGCGTGACCCCTACACCCAAGCCTGGCCGTGACCTCGCACGAACACTACACCAGGCGTCGATTCAAATGGTTGGCTTATCTTCTGCACATTTTTAGTTTTTTACCCTTCCCCTGCACCTCCGATGGCTATGTACGGTGCGAAAGAAGTTCAACATACATATATCAGGATATTATTTACTTCTCGTTGTAAATCGACTTCTGGATGAAGTTCCCCACACAAACCATGAAGGTCAAGTGAGCTGTTTGACCATACTTCACCATGCTGGTCAGTACGTGTTGGCGAGCTGTGGCCGGAACTCAAACTTAGGCTGCCAGGTTCGTTCTGCAGTGCACCGATCACCACTCCACCACTCCACCGCTGCGCACTTTAAAAGTGAGACTCCAAACGTACAATCCGGAGTGGTGAACATATTGAATAAGTGTGGTCACGTGATGTGACATCCTGATGTTTAGCGCTCACCCTGACGAAGTCCACCGCAGAATAGTATATCCAGGTGATGCAGTTCGTGTCAGCTTGTGAAGGGCCGGAGCGATCTGGGATTTGCCATCTGTACGTTTTCCTTGCTCCTGCATTGGGTAGATAAGAGGGGCAACAGTCCGCTAATTTATTTACCCATTACAGTACCTCACAGCGTTTCGCAGAAGGTCATAATAAAGCACGGCATGGCATGGTACGCAGGCAACAAGACCACAGTTTCCATGTTTAAAACGTCATAGGTTATGTTGCACAATGCTCTGTCTCTTAGAATTACATGTTGGATTTTTGTTTTAAAAAAATTGTACAAATAGACTGCAATTATATTTCAATGACCTAAACACATGGGGAAAGTGAAGCGGAATAAGAGTTAGGAGGAGGGAGATGACCAGGGTATTTTCGGCTGCATTTCATAAACTCTTGAGAGAAGACGGCATCCAATTTTACAATGGAAAGCCACAAGTTGACACATCAGAAGGTAACCACAACACAACGTAAATCCAGCCTCCATCAGAAGGTAACACATCAGAAGGTAACCACAACACAACGTTAATCCAGCCTCCATCACAAGTTGACACATCAGAAGGTAACCACAACACAACGTAAATCCAGCCTCCATCACAAGTTGACACATCAGAAGGTAACCACAACACAACGTAAATCCAGCCTCCATTACAAGGTAACCACAACACAACGAAAATCCAGCCTCAATCAGAAGATAACCACAACACAACGTAAATCCAGCCTCCATCACAAGTTGACACATCAGAAGGTAACCACAACACAACGTAAATCCAGCCTCCATCAGAAGGTAACCACAACACAACGTATATCCAGCCTCAATCAGAAGGTAACCACAACACAACGTAAATCCAGCCTCCATCACAAGTTGACACATCAGAAGGTAACCACAACACAACGTAAATCCAGCCTCCGTTTTAACACGAGGAAGGAGTTCGGTTGCAACTCGGTAAAATTCGTTTGAGGCTGGTAATGCACGAGTCGGGGCAGAATGCACCAGGGTGGAAACTGAGCTGGTGGAAATTTCCCACGTAGCCTTTTCGTAGGAGTTCACGATTCGGTTTTTACAGAACGCCCCAACTGAGCAGCGCGATCCCACCGGAGCATATCGCCACAGGGTGATGCGCCTGCGTAAACAGAGTCGACTCGAACGCCGCTCTTCTTTTTCCAGTACGTGTTTGAGACTTGGCATGCAGCGCAGAACATTTCCCACGGGAAGTCAATCAATCAATCAAAACCCAAAAGATTTCCCCTTCCCCGAGGTGGCTGGGTGGCACATGGATCAAGAGAGCACTGAGCCACTGCTCCTGATGCGGTCGTCTTGGCTTGACCACCTGGATGTGGCATCGCCAGTTATTGCTCTGCATCTACATCATCGGCACGAAAGAAGAAGAGGGAGCAGTAGGAGGGGAAGGAGACGGAGAGATCCTCGGTGCCAATTCCAGTAGCCGCCTGTGATTTCACCGGATTGTCGAGGCAGCGAGTTGATGATCTCAGCCTGGGCACCAATGACGACACAACAAATGCCACATTACATTTCGTTTTTACTTCATTTGCAAAATACCAGTCCCTAACATCAAATAAAAAATGTTTGACTTCCTCGTGACAGAAAATCTCCACGGCAGGGCAATGTGGGAACGGGTACCATCCCGAGTGTGAGTACGAGGTCACGTGAAGGGACCTCAGGAGTGATTTTGTCAGAGCTCCTTCCGTGGGCCCTTGTTGGATAGAGAAAGTTGTGCCGCACTGCCCTGTGGGCAGTACAGCATGGTTTCATGACACGGTGCCGATAGAATAGTTAAAATAAAATGTGTATTCTTAGCTCTTTCGGTAAAGTCACGTTGAAGGGAAACAATAAAATATATTTTTGATTTAAAGCTTTCGTGACTGCAGTAATTCATATTCTTAGTTTTTTCGGTAAAGTTATTCTGTTGTTTCTCTTCAACGTGACTTTACCGAAAAAACTAAGAATAATAAAATATATGTAAAACAATAAAAATCCTCACGACGTTTCGACCATAACTCAAACGGTCGTCATCATGGTCGAAACGTCGTGAGAATTTTTATTGTTTTATATATGTTTTATTATTTTATTGTTTCCCTTCAACGTGACTTTACCGAAAGAGCTAAGAATATGAATTATTGCAGTCACGAAAGCTTTAAATCAAAATGAAATGTGTACATATGAAAAACACTATTATATTATTAATTTTCATTTAAAGCTTTTGTGACTGCAGGGATTCATATTCTTTGTTCTTTCGGTAAAGTCACGTAGAAGGGAAACAATAAAATAATAAAAATATAAAACAATAAAATTCTCACGACGTTTCGACTGCAACACAAGCAATAATCATCAGGTGTGAAAACCACAGCAAGAATTTTTTTTTAAAAGTGGCGGTTTTTTCAAAATTTTCTTGCTGTGGTTTTCACACCTGATGATGATTGCTTGTGTTGCAGTCGAAACGTCGTGAGAATTTTATTGTTTTATATTTTTATTATTTTATTGTTTCCCTTCTACGTGACTTTACCAAAAGAACCAAGAATACATTATTAATGATAAATAAAACTATCTCTCTCTCAATGATGGCAAAAAAAAAACATCTTGTAAAATATTAGCTGTTACAGCTTATAAGAAGAGTCGATCCATCAGGTTTATCAATACCATTTTACCTGACTCTTCCAGGTTGACTTTCATTGCACACAGTCACATGTAACGATATACTTTCAACTTTAAACGCGCACAGTCTTCGCTCAATCTCACAGAGAGAGAACGACTTAGAGGCGCAAGGAACCACAGATGAGCAGTAAGGCGGCCACGTGATGAGCTGATGCAAGCATTTGCCCAAGCTCTGTGGTCCTCGATATATTAAGGTGTTATCGGCCAATAAATGAGCGTTTACACGTGTGAGGAAAGCACCCGCATACAAAAAAAGGATGTACTCAAGGGAAAGCTACTTGCTGCTAAAACTCCTCATTGAGTAACCTCGTGTTCATACTCTTTGGTTCTATTCGGTAAAGTCACGTAGGTAAAACAAATTAAAATACATTGAAATAAAATGAAAGAAACAATTAAAACGCGACGTTTCGGAGGCAAAGCAAGCTTCCGTCTTCAGGTGGGACCAGTCACAGCAAAATTTTAATTTGTTTCACCTACGTGACTTTACCGAATAGAACCAAAGAGTATGAATCCTTGCAGTCACGAAAGCTTCAAATCTAGAATGAACCTCGTGCTGTCTAGTTTGCTCAACTGCGTCACGTACGTACACATGCATACGGAGGGGGTAGTAACCTGGCTTGAGCGGGAGGCCCCCGGGAACGTCGCTGATGACTCCGTGTGAGTGGATGGAGTAGGGACGAGAAGCCCTGTTCCACAGCACCACCACTAAGAGTTCCCCGACCTGCCCCTTCAGCAGCGGGCCTGCACGCAGCTCGACAACGAGGCACGGCACGTTACCATGACGTAATATAACTCCTCTCCACTCGCCTTGATACGTTTGACAATCAACCGTTCAGAGGATCTGACGATGGTCCAGCTGACACCTTCCTTACATGAGTACTGCGAAGGTGTTGCAAGAAATTGTTGCGGTATTCCCTCGTTATTTACGAGCTTGCTGTCTGCGATTTTTGGCTGTCTGCGAATTGCATCTGGAGCTCTGCACGTTTACTGCTTCGAGGGAGAGCGATAAAGTGATGAGATAAAGTGATGAGATAAGTGATGAGAGATAAAGTCGTGATATAAATTGACGAGAGATATTACCATGATAATTTTCATGTGGTTAATAGCTAATGTAAGTACTTATTTACATTAATTCGTAAAAAAGATAGGTTTTGCATAGGCCAATATAATTATCCGTGAAACTAGCTATTCACGAGCATGTCTGGAGCATGCACCAAAGGGAATGGGTAACTTGATGATGTGCAAGAGCTCTCTTTATGTCACCAGTTAAGGCCCACTGAGCTATGTAGCTCTTTATCAGAAGCGACCTGGCTATCACAAATGATAGCTCAACAAAGTGGCTCATCGTGTGGAAATAAAAAGCAGCTAAATACTCCGAACGTGTGATGTTGATTCCAAAAGTGGAGGGAATAACCAGAGGACCTGGAGAAAAATCCACGCGACCATGGGGAGAACGTGCAACTCCAAATATACAGCAGGTGTCAGACTCGGGATCTAACCCACGACCGCCTGTATACAAGGCGAGGTAGTGAACATCTTGGCATGTGGCAACAAGATATATTGTCCTTGGTGTTTCGCACTTTCGCGCTGGCACTAACGGGTCGTGCTGTACGACTAAAGCGACTCCAGCGAGTGATGTGACTGACAGACATATCCAGTCTCTTACATGTACGGCGAGGATCAGAGAAGAATGATCGCAACTGGCTGAGTTGGGCGATGCTGTGTGAAACGCATTGCTGTATGTAACGAATGCCATTTAGGAAGTTTTCGGAACGCGGTTTCACCAGCCAAGTATTTCTGATCGTAAATGTGTTTGGTCGTGTAGTCAGACGGCGAATGATTGAGTGACTTTACGGATGCAAGTGAATGCTGTATGGGTCTAAGTGAGGATGTGATCATGGGACGTTACAATGCTGAAGTCGACATTTAGGATGAGGTTAGCTTGCTTTGGTGCCTATTGCTTTTCAATGAAAATAAATGATGATACTGGGCTAAGAGGCTTTGTGGGTGTCTTCACGTTTATACATCTTCCAAGTGTTGTGCTTATTTACCCAGAGGGAAACTTTACCTAGTGCAGCAAGGTGCTCTTCCTCAGTCGTACGCACTTTCGGATTTTTGAAGCTGTCGTCGGTGAATTCCACGAATCTGACCTTCTTGTATCTACTGCCGATTCTGGTCTCTCCACTTCCGAGGAATTTATTTGCTGGGCTGAAACAGATTGATCAGTGAGCACGGGGTTTGCTTAACCCGAGTTCTCGCACAACGGATGGCATGAAGTGTCCCACGTGTTACCATGGACGCTTCATGCAATTGATACAATATTGTAAATAAAGAAAATGCAAGCAAAGTATGCTATTTTTATTTTAACAGGTAAGGCCTACTGATCTATGTATCTCTTTATCAGAAGCGACCTGGCCACAAATTCTAGCTCTACGAAGTGGCTCATCATGTGTAATTTTATAACGGTCAAATATTCTAAACGAATGCTTCTAAATGCGGAGGGAAAAACCGGACAGACCCGGATAAAAATCCACGTGACCACGGGGAGAGAGACATGCAAAACACATAGGCGTCAGGGTCGGGATCGAACCCACGACCTCCCGCATATCAGGCGAGGACGTTAACATCTCATAGCCACCACGGCGCCCTCCCATACACAGCAGACATTGCCTCACCACAGGCAGTGTCACCTGGGTACAGGGGCTCTCTTGTCTTTCTACTCAGGAAAAGACTGAGTACTCATCTTTTCTTGTGTATGGCAATATGTTCAGGAGCCAAATGCCAATGTTGGCGTCTGCTAGCCACGACTAGAGGGATTCAGGAGAGGGCTTGTGTAGTTTCGTTATTTCTCCTCCGTCGAAGCAGTACAGACCACAGTGGTTTGCTCATATGGTCCTGAGTTTGGGTTGTGTGGCCACAATTGCACAGCGGCTTGTCTATAATTTCCCTATGATAAATGAGATGTTCTCATGAGGTTGATGGTTGCACCACCGGTGTCTTCCAGGAGGAGGAATGTCAATGCCAGGGGGTGCGATATATGGGTGTTTATTCTGGAAATGTGAGTTGTTCCACTCCGTCCACCAGCATTCTTCCGGATCTGGATGAGATTCCAGAATAGTGGCGGCGTGATTTGAGTATGATAAAGGGGTTCCACAGGGTTCCATCCTCGGCCCCCTTTTATTCTCTCTTTATGTCAATGACTTGGTCACTGACCTGGATCATTCCAGGGTAAATCTTTTTGCAGATGACACGATACTGATTACTGCTGGCCACTCTCCAGATGACGTGATTGCTAAGCTCCAGGGTGATTTCAACAAACTACAACATCAGCTAGTTGCTCTTAAACTAGTCCTGAATACCTCCAAAACCAAGGTGCTATGCTTCTCACCAGGACTAAAGCAGGAAGTTATTGTTCAACAATTACATTCCTTAAATAATTATCAAATAGAGCAAGTCAAGATCTATAAGTATCTTGGGGTCATCCTGGATTCAAAACTGAATTTTGAAGATCACATTGATTATATTGGTAAAAAGACAAAAAATAAAATTGGTTTTCTGTATCGACACAAGCACTGCTTCCCCCAAATGTTTCGTTTGGAATTGATAAAAGCTACCATACTGCCTCTACTTGACTAATGTGACATCGTGTATAAATCAGCCCCAAGTACTGTACTGAAGAAGCTTGATTCCATCTATCACTCGGCCTTAAGATTTGCATTGAACTGCCCACATAGGACTCACCACTGTGATCTCTACATTGGGTCAAACTTAACATCTCTTAGTTCGACGGCTTGTGCACCAGATCTTATTTATTCACGATGTACTTACAAAAAAAATCCGCAGACTACCTGCTGGATCTCCTCTCTGTTTCAAAGAACAAATTTGACCTCAGGTATTCGCTCATTTACCAGCTTCACATTCCCTATTGCCGTACAAAAACTGGAGGAAGGGCCTTTGCTATTGATGCCCCCAGGGTCTGGAATGCTATTGCCAATAAACTGCAACTTGAATCGCTACCAATGAGATCTTCTCTCAAAACTGCTCTAGAGGAGTTGTACACCCCTAGCTGCCACTGCTATTCATTGGGGTAAAATGAAATAAAATGTTTCGCTCCGGATGACGCTGCAAAGTATTATCTGTATTTTTATTTAGCGTGCTGATCTTAATGGAGTATTGAAAAATTTGATACTCCGACTGATGCTTCTGTTGTTGTGGAGTAACTAATGCAGCCAGCTATGGCTCTAGGGTTTGGTGTTACATGTTATTTATGTAGTTTATTGTAAAAATTTCGGTCACAGTCCCTATGATCACTGTTACATTGCAATTATGGCTTTATTTTTTGGTGATTTCGAAGAGTTTTTTAGTTTGGACATGTTTGTTTTGTTGTAGTACGGAGTTAGACTGATGGCCTTAATCTAAGTTTTATTGTGGTTGTTGTTGTTGTTGTTTTTTATTTAAAGCTTTCGTGACTGCAGGGATTCATATTCTTGGTTCTTTCGGTAAAGTCACGTAGAAGGGAAACAATAAAATAATATGTTGTTGTTGTTTTGACTTGCATCCCACTGGGATTTTTTTGCACACAGCGTTGGTGTACGGCGCTTTTTCAGGAATATTTTGTTGTTTTTTTTCATGGTTTTCTGTTTGCACAGTCACATAGTCACTTTAAGATGTTTTTCTTGTTCGTGTTTTTGTTTTTATGTTTGTTGCGGTTGCACCCGATTCAAAAGCCGAATGGCTCACAGGGCTATACCAAAATAAATCAACTGAAAACTGAAACTGAGTGCAAATATCGACTGACGGTATCACAGACTGGAGGGACTTATCAGACCACCTCGAACGTGAGAGAGAGGGGGGGGCGCTGACTCGGGAATTTCCATCCCAGGACCCCACACAGCGGCCACGTGCTTCAGTGTCCAACCACACCAGGAGCCGTGCTGAGTCGTTGACAACATCGTCGTCTCTCACCCTCAAACTTCCTGCCCCAGAGAGAATCGCGCCCTACAACACGCTGCGTTGTTGACTCGTGCTTGATGCATGCAACGCATTCACATGACCCCCACAGCCGCCAGTGGCTACTGCAATGCATGTACACGTATGTTGAACTTCTTTCGCGCCGTACGTAGCCAATCGTGCTAATCGGAGGTGCATTCGCCACAATGTAAAACAACTATTTACTTAATTCCTGAATCGAATTTCGATCACGGAACCCCGACAATTTAATCGGTAAGGGGTTGGAATTGTCAATGCGCTTGTGATGTAGACACGGTAAAGTCACGTAGGTACAAAATAAAACAACAAAAATCACGACGTTTCGGCCACAACACAAGTGAACACAGCCAAGCGTGGCTGTGTTCACTCCAGCGCTGTCCTCTAGACAGTCTGGTCCCTTCACCTGATGAAGGCCACTTGTGTTGTGGCCGAAACGTCGTGATTTTTGTTGTTTTATTTTTTTACCTACGTGACTTTACCGAATAGAACCAAAGAGTACGGATCCTTGCAGTCACGAAAGCTTTAAATCTAGAATGTATACACGGGTTCTTACCTGAGTGCTGGATTGGTGGTGTTGTGCATTTTCATTTCCCAGCTGCGGTTGGGAGCGTAGTCCCAGACCTCCTCACGGATTGCCAGATAGTATGTTCGCTCCCTTTGCGGAACAAACACCGGTCCAGGTGGCATCCCGCATTCTGATACTCTAAACTTGGCTCTCATGCCTTCGTTAAAGTGCTCATTTGTCCGGCACATTAATTCAAATCCACCTGCGAGAAAGCACACCGTGCCTTTTAACAGGAATTCAGAAATAAACTAAAACCTAAACTATTTTTTTTATTTTAACAAGTAAGGCACACTGATCTATATAACTTTTTTTTGCAGAAGCCACCTGACCACAAATGATAGCTCAAAGAAGTGGCTTATCACGTGGAAATTTCTAGCAGCCAAATACTCTAAAAGCATGTTTTTAAAACCGGATGGAAAAACCGGAGGAACCGGAGAAATAATCCACGCGACCGCGAGGAGAACACGCAAACTCCAAATACACAGGCGTCACGGTCGGGAAAAAACCCATGACCTCCTGTACATCAGGCGATGTAGTTAACATTTCGCCACCGTGGTGAGATATGCGATGTCAAACAATGTTGTGAATTTTACGAACAATGTAAAACCACATACTCTACACCAAAACTACAAAATGGCCTGGAGTCGGAAATAATGATGTTACTAAATATCAACCATCACAAGCCCACTGCTAGCTGTTACTCTGCAGGCTGGGCTTGCTGCAGATGTGGGCAAACGCCATTGTTGAAACATCTGAGGCAGAATAACAAGGCAAATGAAACAATACCTGCATTTTAGATTATAATGTTCATACTTTACCTCCTGTAACATTAAAATACTGTAAGAAGCAATTTGTCGTGAGTCAAAAGTGTTGTAAATTACAGCATGCTGACCCTATATAACTGGATCACTTTATAAAGGTACATCTGTGGTAAAGTGTCTGGCTCAGAAGGGGTCGATTCTGTCAATTCTTCTGGAGTTAATAAAGTAAGTACCAATTTGTAGTAAGTCAACAGTGGCTGCCTTATGAATACACTGGTCCCTTGTTATGGTGGCGAGATTTTAACTTCCTCCCTTGGTATACAGGAAGGTGTGGGTTCGATCCCGACCCTGACGCTTGTATATTTGAGTTTGCGTGTTCTCTCTCCCTGTGGTCGCTTGAATTTGTCTCCAGGTCCTACGGTGTGTCCCTCCACATTTAGAAACGTGCCTTTAGAGTACTTGGCTGCTTTACATTTCCAATGGCTAAGCCACTTCTTTGAGCAATCATTTGTGGCCAGGTCACTTCTGAAAAAGAGCTACATAGCTCAGTGGCCCTTACCTGTTAAAATAAAAAAAACTGTTTAGTTTAGTTACAGAAATGTGGAATGTCCATGACTTGTGGAGGAACACCAATGAAGATATGCAACCGCCCCAACGCCCGTTTTATTGCGAACACACAGAGCGTATCATTTTCTCCCGGTATCTGAATCAGTCGGAAGGATGGAAAGAAAGAGGCAGTGGGGAAGTCGGTTTGAGGAGGGGACAGCGTGATGAAAACAATCCTGAAAAGCCAAAAGACAAAGTGAAAAGTCGACGTAGGGGATTGCGGGAGGATGGATGTTGGTAAAGAGGCCAAGGGGCAGAAAATGAAAGATGCTGCTTCGTGACTTGATGGGGGTGGCAGTAGAAAGGGACCAACTACAGGGAAATGACGAAGAAGATCACGATTCGCGACTGGGTATAGAGAGAGCGACTACATGAGACCTCACCTGTGGTGTCGGTGAGCATGAGGGCAGTGTAGGAGAGGTGAGGGAAGAGGGCGATGGTGTCCACACGGCGGAGGTCAAAGAGCAGCGTCTGTCCCGTGAAGTAGGCCGTGTGCAGGTCAGCCTGAGAGCCCACGGCCAGCACGTGCCACGAGACGCGCTTGCCCACGCACACCTCCAGGCCAGGCAGGTTCCCAAACATAAACCCGTTGATGGCTTCCAGGGAGGCACGCGTCAACGCACAATGGGTCAGGGCCTAAACCCAGGAACGGTTTCCCTTCATATGACTGCAAAACTCCGCAATCGAAGGTTATCTGTTCATTGGCCAGAGGCGAAAGGACTTTAACATGTAATTTCTGAAATAATAATGATAATAATAATGATGAACACCCTGTGGTCGATATATTGACATCAGTATGCTGTGTTGGTCATACCTATGCTCGTCACGTAAATAATATAACTTTATCATTTCATGTAGCTGGAGATGGGAAGCTAATGGGCGAAAGTGATGTTATTGTCACGGATTTTTTTTTTCTCAAGAAAAATGAAAATGGAATAATTACAGAACATAATGTGCATTTGTTTTATTCCTAACAAGTGCGAAAAATGAGATATTCCACTCATGCCACATTTATGTCACTATTAGAGAGGATATTAACTCAACGGCAACAATCGCCATTCGCCACTAAGTGGCAGTGACATGACCACGGTGCTTGTGCCAGGCTATGTGCACTCAGCATGGTGGATGACCGGTGCAACACGGGTGAAGCAATGACCAAAATATATCAAACTAACCATATAACCTCTGTTTTCAGTTCAGGGCAGAATTTCTGCTGCACAGATATAACAGGCATGACTCTGAAACGTGACAATCTACATTGAATGCTGGTGAACGGTGGACATTGTTTATGAAGGAGAATAGAATAATGTGATGTACTTTTGTCATACACACATGGAGAGTAGAATGTATTTGTTACATGACTAAAACACCCTAATTATTACCAATGGACCAAACACAATGGCAGTCAAATTTTGATTTAAAGCTTTCGTGACTGCAGTAATTCATATTCTTAGCTCTTTCGGTAAAGTCACGTTGAAGAGAAACAACAAAATAATAATATATATAAACAATTAAATTCTCACGACGTTTCGACCATAACACAAACGGTCATCATCATGGTCGAAACGTCGTGAGAATTTTATTGTTTTATATATATTTTATTATTTTATTGTTTCCCTTCAACGTGACTTTACCGAAAGAGCTAAGTATACAATGGCAGTGATTTATCTTTGCGAAATATAAATACTGCCTTCCTTTTATGAGAGACGCTGGCACCACATGTGCATTGGATAGGTGGATTATTAAACCACAGGACTGTGATAGGCATTTGCAGCGGGGGGAGGCCTTCAGCCAGCAGTGTATTGAGCATGGTTGATTACAGTGACATTCAAATCCAGCTTTTCTTTTAACAGACAACTGTGGTTGCGACAAAGTCATTTATCCCAACAGCCACTGTGGTCATTGACATCGATTCAATACGATTCAAGTTGATAAAGTGTCCAAATGCTCCAGCAGGCAACTCTATTTAACACGTAGGCTTTTGCGACCAATATTATCCATAATAGAGGTTTTTGGATTAGATTGCGTAAATTTACCCGATATAATCCAAAAACCTCTATGATGGAGCAGGCAACTCTGCATGCTGTACAAAGTGGGGAGGTACTCACACAAGGGGAAGGGGGAGGGATGGGAGCGGGAGGGCAGAGAGGTGGCAACTGTGAGGCTGCAATTGGCGGGATAATTCGTCCAAGCTAGAGGAGAGAACGAGGGTCTTCATATTTAAAGTTTGGCCCAATAACCCCACGACCCGCACGGCACGTGGAGGGCTTCGTTCGACGGCGGGCTGACACAATTGGCCGTGCATGCGCGCCCACGCATCTATCCCTCGTTCCCGAATGTTACGTCGCCTTGCTTACTGTGGCGGAGGTTTGCCTCTCGGAAGCTGGAGTCATCGTCGGGTGCAGTCACATTGTTCCGCTGCTTATTCCACGGCAGGTACCAGCTCAGGCCCTCGTTCACGACGTCAAAGAGCAGGAACACCTCCTCGTCCGTGCCACTCTGTAGAGACATTGACCTATCATTAACGGGCGATGATCGCCAGGGACATGTGAAGAAGTGGTCGCCTGTCGCTGAAGCATCAATTTTGTCGCATGTGTCCTAGCTTTATATACCACAATTACAACTTATATTTTTATTTTACCAGGGAAGGCCCACTGAGCTACGTAGCTCTTTTTTCAGAAGCGACCTGGTCTCAAACGATAGCTCAATGAAGTGGCTTATTATGTGGAAATTTACAGCATCCAAATACTCTAAAAGCACGTTTCTAAATGTGGAGGGAAAAAAAACGGAAAACTCATAGAAAAATCCATGCGACCATGGGGAGAGAGATACGCAAACTCCAAATATACAGGCGTCAGGGTCTGGGTTGAACCCACGACCTCCTGCATAAAAGGCGAGAGAGTTAACATCTCGCCACCTATGGCACCCTGTATTTTCAGGTGTAAAATAACTTCAGGCGTGAGAATAACGGATTCATGTGAATTATGATGATGCGTTCATGATATCCTGCTTTGTGGTATGTGATTTGATGTGACGTTTGAATCAAGGATCACATTTTTAAAATGTGTTCATTGTAAGTGGAAACACCACCGCTGAATGACCCCGAGAAATATTCAAGTCCAATTCTGGGTTGCTGTGCATATTCATCAAATATAAGAGAAAATTTTGGAAAGAAAAATCTAAAACATACAATGTATGTATGTATGTAGAACTTCTTGTGCACCGTACGTAGCCAACCGCGCTAATCGGAGGCGCGGTAAAGGGCAACAAACTAAACACAAAAAACAATTCTAAAGAAATACATTTTCAATCTAGATTTAAAAGTGCACAGCTCCCAGTGGCTTCCTGATATCGGAAGGAAGAAAGAAAGGTTTACGTAACAGTTTGCCATAGTCTTGCTTCATTCGGTAAAGTCATGTAGAAGGGAAATAATAATAAAAAATCATCATCAGATTGCTTGTGTTGCGATCGAAACATCGTGAGAATTTTATAGTTTTTTTTTGTATTATTTTATTGTTTCCCTTCTACGTGACTTTACCGAAAGAACCAAGAATATGAATCCCCGCAGTCACGAAAGCTTTAAATCGAAAGTTTGCCATAGCTTCGTAATTGTATTTCCCACCGTTAATGTGTTTTGTGTGCTTGTCTGTTGTTGTGGTATATAGTTCTCCTATAACGCAGAAGTTGCGTTCCTGAAGAACACCGCACTATGGAAAAATCTCGTTATTATAAGTAATATATAACATAGAGTAAAGCACAGTCCGCGATAACACGTGAGATACGTACGAAGACTGAACAAAGACTGAGGGGCTTGGGTAGCATCCAGAAGTATCCAGCAGCATCCCGCCTAGTGTGACGCTACACCGAGACAGCAGTATAACCGCGTATTCCTACTCGTGTGACGTAGTTCTAGTCACTCTATCGCGTTATATCCAATTCGCATCCACGTTATACAAAATGTGTTTCCCAATACATTCATCGTGCTGGTATAAAATAAAATAAATTAAATCACGACGTTTCGGGCGCAACACAAGCGTCCGTCATCAGGTGGGACAACCACAGAAAGAAACAATTTGCTGCCCACTTCAGCAAATGTTTTCTTGCTGTGGTTGTCCCACCTGATGACGGACGCTTGTGTTGCGCCCGAAACGTCGTGATTGTTTTTATTTTATTTCTAACTACGTGACTTTACCGAAAGAACCAAAGAGTATGGATCCCTGCAGTCACGAAAACTTCAAATCTGGATTGATTCATCGTGTTATATCCAAGCCTCGTTTCTGAAAACAAGATGCAGCGTTACAGGTGAACAGGCTGTCCCTGCCACGCTGCCAATTACTCCGATGAACATGCTACAAGGTACTTTCATGAACTGATAATAGCTATCGATCTGCAACGTCCATTGCCGAGCTTGTTATTTCGTAAATACCTCGTCGGGAAGTAAAACATTTCGAAGCAATGGTGTGAACAACAGTAATCAAGCCGGTCACTGGTGGCTATGCGCATGGCCTGTAACCCAGCACTGTGGAGGCAGCCAGGGTTGGTGGATTCGGACAAACGTCGTGAAACTCCCAAAAACCGATGGGCTGCGAGGTTACCCTCTCCTGGCGTGTGAGAGTTTGGCAATATAGGTGAGTTCATTTTCATCTGCAGGGGCACTGAGCGTTACCCCCCTCGCACGCGAGACTTTTCTCGGGGTACTCCGGTGTCTTTCCCCGTGTAAGACACTCATGAGTGGATTTGGCCAAACATCTCAATGCAGGACCACAGAGCTTGGACAAAATATAGATAGGGCTGTTTTTTTTCTGACATACCCGCTGGTACGAGGTTTCTCGTGTCTCTGAATCTATCAAAAACTGCAACCCATTACAAATGTGCTTATTTCTATTTAGGTATTTTATTTATTTATTGCGATTTGATGACGTTTAGAAAATGGATGATACGGGTATCTTGGATCTTAGAGGGCGCCATGGTGGTGAGATGCTAACTACTTAACCCACTACCTCCTGCCTGCTATACAGGAGGTAGTGGGTTCGATCTCGACTCTGACACTTTTATATTTGGAGTTTACATGTTCTCCCCGTGGTCGTATGGATTTTTCTTGGGGTCCTCTGGTTTTCCCCTCCACATTTAGAATCACCATGCGTTTCAAGCCTTTGGCTGCCATAAATTTGCACGTGATAAGCCACTTCGCTGAGCTATCATTTGTGGCCAGGTAGCTTCTGAAAAGAGCTAGATAGCTCAGTGGGCCTTACCTGGTCAAATAAAAAAACTGTTTAATTTATAGCATATCGTACGGCAATGTATCCTAAAGGTATCGCCGAGTCACATAGAACCCTAGATAAGGACCTGGTCGCCGTGCTGGTCCAGGGAGCCGTTGCGGCAGATGAGCAGCGGTCCGACCAGGCCCGAGTGGCCATCCCGTACGTGGTCGACCGAGCTGGTGTACAGGTAGGTGATGCAAGGCTCATCCGCCTGGGTGGGGCCGGCGCCCTGGGGTACCGCCCAGCGGTACGTGTGCATGCCTCCCGCGGGCACTGCTGCCACCTTGTGGAGCTCTGTAAAATAAAATAAAGTACAGGTCGGCGTGGGGAAACCACGGACAAGAGGGGAAGGCAACAAGCAGCAAGCAGAAACCCAGCGCCAACAAATTGCCCAAGCTCTGTGGCCCTATGCTGGGGTATTCGGTCGACTCCATTAGTGAGTGGTCTGTACACGTGGGTGGAAAGTATAATCTTGGGAGAAACCCCATGCGTGCGGGGGAGGGCAACGCTCAATGCCCGGTGCATATGTAATAATGGAAATGTTTCCACTTAATGTACTATCATCACACACTGGCAAGCCAGGATATGGCTACCTTGTATCCTAGCGGGTTTGGGAGTTTCACGGATGTGTGTGTGTGTGATCCACTAACCCTTACTGCCTCCACAGTGCTAGATTAAAGCCACGAGCCACCAGCAACTCAGTGAAGAGATCCATATTTTCAGACCATAATGTGCACTGTCATTAGAGCCACGGGTGAGGACTCACTATCGAACGAAGCCCTCCCCATGACATGCGGGTCGTGGGGGGTTACTAGGCCATAATTTAAACATTAAAACTCTCATTCTCTCCTCTAGCTTAGACGAATTCTCTTGCAAATTGCAGCCTCAAATTTACCACCTTTCTGCCTTCCCTGCCCTTTTGAGCGCTATGATGGTCGTAATTGGTTCTGCTCTTCTTGCCAGGTTACATTAGCACGGCTGGCTGCGTACGGTGTGAAAGAAGTTCAGCATACATACATACATACACACATAGATCCTGCAGCAGGTCGTCATTTCATTTTAAGTCTACAAATGGGAAGTCCAGCCCGGTGCCAGGGGTGTGTGCGGGACCGAAAATGAATTCTCATTCTGCGAGATTGCAGCATGTGGCAATCTCTGGGTTGGGCTTTCAGGCCATGTACACACAGCAGTGGTAATTGGCATTTGAGTCTGGTCTGGCCTCCCTCATGTTCACCGAGTCCAAGATTTGTACTTGATTTAGAAACAGCATGATGCTGTCATTAGACCTCTTTTGCCAGTACTAAAATATAACAATAGGGGTTTTCCCCTTTTTTCTGAAAGAAGTTCAGCCTTTTGGCGTCATCTGGTCGAGCACCAATTGGGTCGAGGCTCAAAAGAAAGCCGTCCCTTGGTGTGGACCAATCAGTTTCAAGGACAATGCCAATATATTATCATAGTATGTTTTTTGTGTTGCATTTTGACTGCAGGTATTGTGGTTAATGCAGACGTGAATCCTGGTAAGAAGGTTTCAGTTTTGTTGCCAGAAAAAAGGGGAAAACCCCCATTATTATAGCATGATGCTGGTTCCTTCATCCCACACAGTGGCGTAACTACACGATCAACTCGGGGCGGTGCGGCAATCGGTCAGGTGGGGCCCCAATATTTGATTTGTCTCGCGCGATCACACCTAGAGGCTCTCGTATATCGCGGCTCCTCTTGCCTCATCACATCGTTAGCACTCATGGTCTCGAACATTTAATGCCGTAGCGGCGCTCCATCGACGCAAAATGCAGCCACCACAGTTCGGCAGTGCCTCTTTTGCAATATCACGTCACTGCTCTCATTGAATTTACGTAAAACGTGGGACGTAAATGAAAGCATTTGAATGCAAATAAATTCGAACCGCGTTTTAAATAAGTCTTGTTGTTGTTTTTTTTGACTGTTTTAAAAACATATCTCATGGTGGTTGTCAAGGGGGGGGGCTCAACTCGTAGATGTGGTCACCGGGGGGGGGGGGCGAGGCACCCCCTGCGTGCCCCACGCTCGTGACGCGACTGACCTCACACCGACAGCCGTTTCGTTATGGGACCTCCTTTGCCAGTACCAAAATACGATAATATGTTTTACCCTTTTTTCTGGCAACAAAACAGGTGTTGAGATGTTGAAATACCAAACTGAAACCTAGATTCGAGGCTTTCGTGACTGCAGGAATTACTCTTTCGTTCTTTCGGTAAAGTCACGTAGAAGGAAATTTAATTAAATAATAATAGAATACGACGTTTCGGTTACAACACAAGCAACCATCATCAGGTACAAATGAATGAGAAAACAAACCTAGTAAACTTAGAAATATAATGCTAACCGACTCTCTGTGTTGCATTGCATAACACTTCCTACTTTCACTAAATTTCCTTTCTACCGTGCTTGTTCCGTGCTTGTTTATAAGTCCCTTCTCTCCTCCGGCCGCTATGGGCAGGAATCCCACACAACGCTCCGTACTTGTTTGTTTAGAAGTCCAGTGTCCAGCTCGTCCGTCCGCTATGGGCCGGAATTCCACACAACTCTCCCTCTGCCCCAACCCCCCTCTCTCTTATTCTTCCCCTCCCCCTCTCTCTCTCTCTTTATTTAAGCCCTCGACACAGAGACGTTGTCTTTCTGTGTGCCTATGTGTGTGTCTCTCTCTGTTTATCTCTGTGTGAGTCTCTCTCTGCTTGTGTGTCTGTCTGTGTGTCCGGAAAAACAACCCCCTACTTCCTCGTGGTGCCGGACGGGCAACGCTGTCGTGGGCAGTGCTGTGGGTGGAGGACCAGTTCCGATTGGCCTTTCCCCTCATGGCGTTTGTAACCACCACAGCGGCCAAAAGGGGGCTCTGGACGGGTGTGAGGGGCTGGTAACCCCTCCACCTTCAATTAATTACCGCTAAACCACGACGGAAATTTTTAAATAATAAGCTTGTGCCGGAGGCCCCGGGGGGGACAGGCGTCTATGACGTCTCCTGGCCAAACTCCATTTGGCAGAGCCAGGAGACTGAATCCTTACCCTTGGGGCTCCTCCAGAAACAGCAAAAAAACACTACGTGTGGCCACGTGGAATTTTAGAACGCTCATTGCAGAGGAGAGACTGCCACTCCTCTGTCGAGATCTGGACCGGTACCGCCTGGATCTCTGTGGTATTCAAGAGGTGCGGTGGACCGACTCTGCCTCCTGCCACCGTGAGGGGTGGCCAGTCCTCTACTCGGGGCAGCAGACTGCCAAACAACAGGGAGTGGCTCTTCTTCTGAACCCAATAATGAAGGGGGTGTGGGAGCATGGCGGTGAGTTGTGGAAGGCTGTAAGCCCCAGGCTACTTTGAGCTCGCCTTCCCATCAACCAGAGGCGAAGAGTGATGGTCGTGGTTACTTATGCCCCTACTGAAGACGAACATCCGTGGAGGAATGCAGGCAAAGCTGATGAGTCGGATGCCTTCTATGACCTCCTGTCACAGGTGCTAGCTAAAGTGACCCCTCGGGAGAGAGTCATCTTGTTGGGTGACTTCAATGCCCGAGTTGGTCATGATGCTGGCAACTGGTCTGGAGTGATTGGAAGGCATGGGCTAGATCAGCTCAATAACAACGGCAGGAGGCTGCTAGATTTTTGTGCAGCCCATGGGCTTGTAATTACCAACATGCTGTTCCGGCATCGGCGCATCCACACAACATCATGGATGCATGCCGAGTTCAAGCAAGAACATCTGCTGGACTACATAGTGAAGGAACAGCGGATGCGGGCCCATGTCCTTGACCCCAGGACCTACCGTTGAGGTGATCTGCCCACTGACCATCGACTTGTCATCTGTAAGATGCGCCTGCCATTCTTCCACTCCAGTGGTGGGTGTACACCAAGGACCCCATTCAAACCCTTAGTGGCATGGTCTCAGTTGGCTGATGAAAGTTGCAAGCGAGAATCTAATCATCGCTTGTGGCTGGGGTTGGAATTGTCCCCCACTCCTCCTGATGTCGAGGGGAAATGGGCGAGGTTTAGGACTCTGGCTCATGCAGCTGCAATGCCTGCTTTGGGTACACAGTCCAGCCCTCCCCATAGACCCTGGCTGATGGAGGCGGTGTTCGAGCTGGTTGAGAAAAAGCGACAGGCCCACTGTCATTGGCTACAGCATCCCACATCAGAGAATGAGGAGGCTAACCGCAGCCTACGCTCGGAGGTTCGGAGAGCTGTGTGGCACTGCAAGGATGCGTGGTGGTCGCGGATTGCTGAGGAGATGGAGTCTGCCTCAATAGCCCACGATCACAAATCACTCTTTAATTCCATCAAAAAAGTAACCTGCAGCGCCACACCTATTACCATAATTAGGGGAAAGAACCGGTGATCCAATCTCCGACCCCCAGGAACAGGTTTGCAGATTTGCTGAGCATTTCTGTGAGGTCCTGGGGGAGATGACATCCCTCAGCCTGGATAACAACGTGGGACAAAGTGAGGATGACCCTGCCGAGGCTTCGGTGCCTCAATTATTGGAGGAAGAAGTCACCCCCTGTGAGTGGCTGGCTGAGGTGCCATCTGTTGAGGAAGTACTGAAGGCGATCCAGAGTCTGAGACCAGGAAGGGCACCGGGCTGAGATGATCTCCCAAGCGAAATGCCGAGGGAGGGTGGCGTTTGTGCACAGACTGCCCTATATGACATCATAACAACAGTCTGGACCACTGGACGGGTTCCGCAGGACTCGAAGGATGCCCTGGTGGTCGCCCTCTTTGAGAAGGGGGACCGCACAGACTGTAATAACTACAGGGGCATCTCACTTCTCAGTGTGCCGGGAAAGGTACTGGCAAGGATTATTCAACATCGCCTTGCTAGGCACGCTGAGGAGTGGCTTGTGGCGCGGCACGGGCTAGAGAAAAGATGGATTGATGTGGTACAGGAGGATGTGGAGCTGAGTGGACTTGCTGATGACTGGTACCAGCGGTGTCAAGATCGGCCTCTGTGGAGGAGGCTCGTGAAGGAAGCTCCTGAGCAGTTGGAGGAAGTCGCCCTCCAACAACAACGGAGGGCGGAGGAGCGATGCTCACAACAATGAGCAGAGCGCCGGGTGGCTAAAGCACAGCAAGTTAGCACAGTAGGGGGCACAGGTGGTGCATCAGCAAGTCGTCTCAGTCAGTTGACCTGTGACACCTGCTGACTCTGCCCCGTGACCTTCTGCCAGCGGGCGTTCGACACTTCACATGGCCTCAAGGTGCACATAGCCTGGCACAAGCTCGTGGTGACGTCACCGCCACTTAGTGGTGAATAGCGGTTGTTGTTGTGTCTCCGTGTCTATGTTTTGTCTCTCTCTCAAGTTTAGCAATCTTTGGAAGAACGTAATCAACCAGGTGGGGTGTTGACTGTTGTGTTGGCCGACTCTCTGTGTTGTATTGCATTATATTTCCAAGTTTATGTTTGTTTTCTCATTCATTTGTACCTGATGATGGTTGCTTGTGTTGCAATCGAAACGTCGTATTCTATTATTATTTCATTTAATTTATTTCTACGAGACTTTCTACGAAAGAGTAAACTGAAACCTTTCACAAGGAATCATGTCTGCTTTAACCACAATGCTTGTGGTTCAGAATGCAAAGAAAAAAAATATTCTGATAATATATGCATTGTCCTTGAAACTGATTGGTCCACACCAGAGACAGCTTTCTTTTGAGCCTCGTCTCAAACGGTCTAACACCGGTCTAACACCGTTTGAGACGAGGCCCAAAAGAAAGCGGTCTCTGGTGTGGACCAATCAGTTTCAAGGACAATGCATATATTATCAGAGTATGTTTTTTGTTTGCATTCTGACTACAAGCATTGTGGTTAATGTAGACATGATTCCTTGTAAAAGGTTTCAGTTTGGTGTTTTAACATCTTAACACAACCTGTTTTGTTGTCATAAAAAGGGGAAAAACCTATTATCAGCCATTTCATTCTTAACAGTAAATCCTGAATGAACCAGAGACTTTGGTCTTTGAGGCTCATTCACAATGAAGCCATCAGTCATTGCCACTGATGGTGATGTCTCCTCGGTGCTGGTCAGCCAGCGTGCACCATGAGGTCGTGGAGTGGTGAGTGGGATTTTATTGGTCACAGAGCCGACCCAAAAGGTTTAAACCGCAGCCTAAATAACTGTTGATGGTGTACTCTCACTCAAAATATGGGAAATTCATGTTACGACAATGGAATTGGGAATATTTTCCATTGAAAAAAAAAATCCTTCTTATGCTGAGTTAGCAAATAGATGAAACTACGTCAATACAAAGCATTTCATAATGATGTTTCGCAGACAGAGATAGTTTCATTCTTAAAAGTAGGGGAATGCCAAACAAAAGTCACGTCTAATTTCTCCGTAATAATTTTGAAACGATATAATCTCATCTGTTACTTTAAAGGATCCATCTCACCATAATTCCCCTTGGCGACATGCTCGCTGCTCGCGAATACACCATGTGGATGGATGTTGTAGCCCCGGCTGCCCATGTTCTTGAACGTGACGACGAGCTCATCCCCGACCTCTGCTCGCAGCACGGGCCCTGTGGAGGAGACATAAATCTAAATCTGAATATTTATTTATGCTGGGAGAAATCTAATGAGCTATGAAGCTCTTTGTCATCACCGCGGTGCCTTCCAACAAGGCATGGATCCAGTCGGACTTTAGATGTGTGTATAGATGCGCTGGCTGGGTTATGATAATGTCCAATAAGCAAGCGACCTATACGTATACATATCAGATTGTAAAAAAAGAGGATTGTTGCACAATGATAACAAAACAGTCTCTAAGCAAAAAGAAAAGTGATCAAAATTTTTTTAAAAAATTTGTTTTCTTGTCAGTTGTATTCATTTTGGAAAGTTTCTATGACAATTAGGAGTATACCATTTATTGTAAAGCCGATGAAAAATTAGGTTTGTGATTTGGAATATCCTACCAGCAGCCGTATGCACAAACGAAATGTTTTAAAATGCTGAGTTGCAATGCGCAAGTTTGCAATGTCCAGCCACTTATCGTATCTTAACGTCTTAATCAATCGCTTTCCAAAGAATTAACAACAGTATAACATGTAATGTTGTGACGGTAATGGTGTAGATGAGGTGAATTAAATAGATGAGAAGAAGCAATGGGGGCGAATCTGCGTTTCGTGAATTCGTTGAAAGCGAAATTGACGATGAATGTAAATGACGATGAATGGATTGAATGAACGCGGAATGAGTGATAGCCAAATAATGATTATATGAAGAGGGAAGAGTGACGGTGGTGGTTATGAGGGGGGGGGGGGGGATTAAGGGGTCGTGGGGTGAGCGAGGGAAAATAGGTGAGTTTTTAGTGAGGAGCAGAAACAAGTGAGTGAACGTGACTGCTTAATGTGGAGGGGGAAGTTTGTTCCAGTGAAGGAGGCAGGAAGAGAACAAGAGCTAAGGCGTGGACTGAGCACTTGAAGCAAAATAGACTCGCGATTTAGTCCGTTCGGCTGCACTTCCATCCCTCATACTCTTAGGAGCCTTCATCCCTTCTGATTGGCAGACAGTGGCTTCTCAATTGCCACAAACTTTAAAGGCGCCAAAATAATCTAACATACGAAATAATCTTGACTTAAAGCTTTCGTGACTGCAGGAATTCATATTCTTTGCGTCTTTCGGTAAAGTCAAGTAGATAGAAAAAATATTAACAATGAAAATAATACAAATAAACAAATGAAAATAAAGTTAATAAAAAAGAATTTTAAAAATCAGATGACGATTGCTTGTGCTGCGATCGAAACGTCGTGATATTTGCATTATTTTTATTATTTTTTATTTTATCGTTATTATTATTTCTATCTATGTGACTTTACCGAAAGACCCAAAGAATATACGAAATAATGTCAAATGAGTCAATTGTAGAAATTATACATTCCCACGGCAGGTGCCAGTCTGTCCATAGGATAACTGCTGATGACTTCTAACAAAGTGGTATTCAGGGGCCATCCATTGAGTACAAACGCAAAAATCTGTAAAAAAAACTTGACCTCTCCCCCCCCTCCCTGTACACACGCGTACGTTTTAACCCCCCCCCCCCCCCACCTGCGTACGTACGCCTGACGCACTCCCCCACAATCCAAAAGAACAGCCGATATTTAATCCACGCAGAAACGATTAAGGATTCATATGAACGTGTTTAAGCAAACAGTCCACCGCCGGACTATCTAACTCAATTTAAAGGCCAATGTAGACAAATTATTATCGAGGCTTCACCCCCCCCCCCCCCCCCGTTTCCAATGCGTACTTTCATTGTCAATAGACCCCCCCATACGCAAGCGCATTTGGGTTAACCCCCCCCCCTCCTCCATACTAAATGGATGGCCCCTTACTTCATAACATCCAAAGGGATGACGGCTAGAGTCGACCCCCAGTCAGGATTTGGTATCACAACTTTCCAATTGTGAGTCGATGTCCTTATTCGCAGTGCCATTACGAAAGCAGGCGCGTCCATTGGTGACGTGAGCGTCATTTTAAACGGTAAAACAACAGAGTAACGGAAGAGTGCTCACAGCTCACGTCATACCGTACCTAGCATCCCCATGTGCCTCTGCTTGGGCGTTCGCTGCCTCCTGGCGGTGAAGCTTGCGTCCGTGTACTCCGTGTAGAGGATTTTCCTGTACACGCCTCCAATGCGGCTGGGCCCTTTCGTGAAGTACTTCTCGGAATCACTAGAGCAGTCACGGACAAAGTTCCCACACGACGAATGGCAATGACGCGCATACATACAAGAGCGGGGAGATGGACGGGGTGGCTCAGAGGTCAGGCCGCTTAGTTGGCTCCGCTGAGTTCAGTGACGAGTGACTGCACAAAGAACGTAACACACTTTCAATTTGGTTTTTTTATAAAGCATAGGGTCGACTGTCTCGTGACGAGCATTTCTCTCTGTAGCAGGGTGGATAAATGTTCCTCTCCGGTGTGGATATGAGGTGGCTCGAGATTCGAAAAGTAATTTCTCTCGTAGCTCCTTCCTCCATATGTGCCGTTCTGCTCTGCTCCGACACCGCAGCTTTGCCCTTCACCAACCCGCACTGTTGGGTCCTCTCGTGCCCCCCACTGCATGGCGAGGACCTTCATCCAGCAGTCGATTGACAAAAACGGGCTGTGCATCTATGTACACGTGTATACGTATACTAAGGTATAAATATGAAAATAAGAAAATAGTTCTTCTACTCATAGCGTAGATATTCCCCATGGTCCAAATTTGGCAAATTTGATAAATGACCCGCAAATTATTCACTTGGGGCTTTTTTTAGCAACCATCGGCCCCTAATGTAAATCCTGTATTTTGGACTCCAAAATACAGGATTTTTTTAGCCAACCGTGCTAATCGAAAAAGAGTCATAAGACTCAGTCGGGGCTTTGTTGTGTAAACAAAGCGTCATAAAAAAAACGTGTTAAAGCGTGGCGACTCTGACAGACACTCCACGTGGCTTGTGGTGAGTTCACCTTCCAGGCTGGGTCAGATCCTCGCCCGTCGCGTTGTTGATGCCTGATGGGCCGTAGTCCCAGTCCACTTCCTCAGCGGCGATGAAGAAGGTCCTCTCCTCCCCGTCTGAGTGCCAAACGCTTTGGTTCGAGCCCTGACACTCCAGGACGTTGAAGGCGGCCTGCATGCCACCTGTCCACGCAGCGCGAGGCTCTCCAAGCGATGCTCTGCATCACGCTTCATAATCCTGATCCTGTCACGATTCTTATTAAATGTCTGTGAATGCATATTGATGCGCTTCAAATGCATCCCTCTCTCTCTCTCTCTCTGGTATATTTGGGGTTTGTGTGCGTCTCGCCCTCTCTCTCCGCGGTTGCGTAGATTTTTCCACGGGTCCTCCGGTTTTTTCCCTCCACATTCAGAAACGTGCGTCTAGAATATTTGTGGCTGCTGTATATTTCCACACGATAAGCCACTTTGTCGAGCTATCATTTGTGGCCAGGTTGCTCATAAAAAAGAACTACATCGCTCAATGGGCCTTACCTGGTAAAATAAAATAAATAAAAATAGTTTAGTTTATAGTTCTGTGTTTCTGAGGTGAAGAGAAGACAAGCGGAGACGCAGATTTATTTTATTTTACGTCGTACAAACTGTGCCAACATGGTCTATCGACCAGGAAACCTAATCCACTTTGGATATTAAGTCTGAACAATTCTATAATCCTTATCTGTGGATGCTGATGGCCGATTGGGTTTACATAAATAAATAAAAAGGTAAAACTCCTATAGTCCGTTATTTTTCGCGGATCATTGGAGACGCGTGGCAAAACAACTCCTTAAATGCACAAAAAAAAACCACAGTTTTTTTTCCCATCGCGGATTACAGACTCCGAGAAACACAACCTTCCCCCACATCACCGTGGACGCACCTTTCAAATAATTATTAGGAATGAAATTCAATCCAATCATAACGTTCGCACATTTACGGATTTTCATTGCGGCAATGCTTACTTCGGTAACCGGTAACGTTGGGACACTGCAGCACGAAGCAATGTCCAACTCCCCCCAATTTCCTCTTGCGCTGTCTCAGCGGTGCCGTTTCCCACTGGAGTTCACCATTTGTTGAGCCTGCAGCTTCAATACGGGAAGCTGTCATCAAATGAATCCCTAACTGTGAGTATCACGATGGCGGTAGCCACCGCCTGGCAGTGAGTGATGGCCGTGGGAAGTGGCATAGTAACGACATTGTGAATCGGTCAGGTGGGGCCACAATATTTGATTTGTCTCGCAGGGTCGCACCTTGGCTTATTGCTACAGCTCCGTAGTGCCTCTTTGCAAGATAAGGTTGCTGCTCCCATTAAATTTACATAAAACGTGGAAGGTAAATTTAAGTTTAACCCGTAGGAGGCTTTCGCGACCAATATTATCCACAATAGAGGTTTTTTTTTTGTTGGGTTAGATTGTATAAATATAAATGCGTCGTTAAACCAGCCACCACACGACACAGCCAATTAGTAAGGTTTGTCACGTAAACAGAACATGCTAATTCGTTACTAGTACAGCACTAACCGGTGTGTTACAATCTGAGTACGACGTTTCGCCACTAGTTACAACCAGCATCATCAGGCGACAGCCACACTTGTGGAGAAATCCTTCTCCTGTTTCGTTCTTAAATAGAGGGATACATTTGATGTCGTCACTTGTGAGACAATCAGGTGCGATGGCCAGATGGCGGGTGGGGTTAATGAATGCATATACATTACAATCGGTGTCCAAAAAAACCCTGTAACATGGTCAATGAAAGCAATTTCATAAAAAAAAAAATGTAAACCGCGTTTTATATCACTCTGTTGTTCTTTTCACTCTGTTGTTGAAAACATATCTCATGGTGGTTGTCAAGGCGGCCCTAACTCGTAGCTTTGGCCACCAGGAGCAGGCGGGGGGGGGGGGGAGGAGGTACCCCCTGCCTGCCTCCATGCTGGTTAGGCTATTGACTCTGGCTCAGCATCTGGCAGTGAATGGCGACGGTGAGTAAAACCCTCTCACCTGCAAAGTGCTCATTGACATCGCAGGCGAGGAGCCAGCGGCCTGGGTTGGTGGGCACCATCAGGGCGGTGACAAAGGTGGCGGGGAAGAGGCCTACGGTGTCCACGCGGTGGTGCTTGCTCGTGAGCGCCTGCCCTCGGAAGTGAGCCGTGTGAATGTCCACCTCGGAGCCAAGCCCAAAGATGTGCCACGACACGTTGACCTCGCTGCACATGTTCAGGCCCGGCAGGTTCCCGTACATGTAGCCGTTGATGCCTGAAACAACGCGCAGTGAGTCGTTAGGACGCCGAGGTGGCGACATGTTAACTACCTCCCCCGGTATGCAGGAGGTCGTGGGTTCAATCCGGACCCTGACACTTGTATATTTGGAGTTTGCATGCCTCTCTCCCCGGGGTCGCGTCGATTTTTCTCCGGGTCCCTCCGATGTTTCCGTCCACATTTAGAATCGACGTGTTTAGAGTATTTGGCTGCGATACATTTCCACCAGGTAAAACCCACTACATAGGTCAGTAGTGGGCTCTACCTGGTCAAATAAAAATAGTTATAATTTAAAAGTTATAGGTGCCACAAATTTTATATCTGCTTGATGTCGTCCATCATCGTGTATTTAGATGAGTAGATCAGTACTGTCTGACCGGCTGTCTGTAAGTATTAAGGTGCTGCTGTGCGTTTTCCTTTTCAAATTGTGTCACCGCTATATTTTCGGTTTTCAACGTCTTAATTTTTCTGTATCATCCTTTTACCCCTCGCCCTGTGTGGCACTTGCAATGTAACCATCACCACAGTACTTTTACCACATCCCATGCAAAGCGTTTTAACCTGCACCATGATGTTTTTCAGTAAACACAAGCAGGTGAAAATCGCCAACATTTAAATAGCGGAATATTTATGTTTGATCATTGAACCTGTGACTTGTCAATTTCCCACATCTCCAATTATCATGGTTGGCTATATATGGTGCGCATGAGTGCATACATACGCGTGTCCTCGATTATAATAATCAAACGTATGCATTATTTGATATTGTCAACAATCAAACATAGGATTTATCATTTAATTTAATATCCGCAACCAACGTAATACTTGAAATTCGTTAAACTTATTTAATGTGTCGTTGCTAATGAAGGAAATTATATAAATTATTTTAAATGTTGTCGATAATTGACGACATAGTAAATCAATTTATTAATTATCTTGTGAAAAATGAAACTTATAAAAAATTAAACATAGCAACACATTTCGTGTCATGTTAGCCACCAGTAGTTTTATAGCCGTTTAGATCCATGGGCCATGCCCCAGATAAGCAAAAGTGATTTAAAGAATTACTAATCTACAACTCATTACTAATCATAACCAATGACTGATTACTCATCGATTATATAATTACAATACCCCCCCCCCCTCCGCCTCTAATCACTGCACCTGATATGAGTTAAGTGATGACGTCACCCTGCTGCTCTATATAAAACCGGGAGCAAGCGAGGGCTTTACCATTCTGGCGAATTGCCCGATGATGCTGGATGTATTTACCGGCGAAACGTCGTACTCAAACTGTAAATGTTGTGGATTAACTCTTCAACACACCAGTGGGCTGAAGTAGTGAATTATTTGTCTTTTGTCAACGTGACACTTTTATTGCTGATTGGACGTGTCGGGTGGTGGAGGGTTACGGCACATTTATAAATAAACGCGATCTAACCCAAAAACCTTTATTATGAATTATTATGAAGTAAAAGTTAACTCATAAAGCGCCGGTGAACTCAGCAGACAACTGAAGACTGCGCTTCTCATGGTAACCATGAATCCCTTGCATGCTCTGTGACAGAAGTGCTGTCGTCAATGTTACATGATAGGCGCAGCACTATCTCAGGCATGGCTAACACACATCGATGCGTATTGCTGTTGTCAATCTGAAATATGCATGATGCAGTCGGGCATTCCCAACAATCATCAACATTTTACAAAATACGAGTTTAGTTACGATATGAAAATGAAGTTTAACCTAAAGGTTGCTTCTCGTGGGTACGCGCAACAGGGCAATGGTTAGCTCCGTTGGCAGCCTTCAGCCAATGGAAGCTGTACTGCAAGACTATACATATTTTTTCTAATAATAATGTAATCATATAATAATTATTAGTTTTGTATATAGCATCATGATTCATGAAAATTCCATCTCACAATCGCCGAGTAACCACAGGCAAGAGCTAGAACCAGTTGGTGAGCCCGACTACCTAAGCTATGCAGTCCTCTTTTATTAAGATGTTTCCCACCAATGAACACTGTCTTACACAGATGGGATACTGGCAATCCAGGGAATGGCTCCTCCTTGACGCCCACAGGAAGGGAGTTTCGCGTGTTGCACCAACCCTCACTGGCTCCACGATGCTGGATTAGAGGCCACGTGCATATCCACCACCGCCAGATTTTATATCCTGTCCCTCCTGCATTTATCCCTGAATGTTGTCCTGATCTTGCCAAAGAAGACACCCTGTCTCAATAGTTTCCCTCGAGAAGAACAATCATTTATCTCTGGACTGAATGTATGGTTCTAATTTAAATACAGTAAAAGCAAATCCGTTTTGCAGCTGTGCAGCGGACGCGACACGCACGCATGGTGATGGAAACTACACATTCGTCACACCTATCCCTCTATTTAAGATTAAAACAGGAGGAGGATGTCTCCACAACTCTGGCTGTCACCTGATGAGGCTGTTTGTAATTACCGGCCAAACGTCACGGTATTAGAATCGAATTGTAAATGTTGTGGGTTTACTCTCCAACACTCCGGTGTGCTGAACTCGTAACTAATTGACACCTTTAGTTTACGTGACAAACCTTACTAATTGGCTGTGTCGGGTGGTGGCAGGTTTAACGACACATTTATACGTACGCGATCTAACCCAAAACCCCCTCTTATGGATAATATATTATTAAACTGACACGTTCAACGCCAGCGAAAAAATATAAAACCTCACGATGCCGTGAGCCGTGCGATACAACATTGTAAACGTGTACGCCGTGTCGAGGTGTGGATCCGGAGCGAGCAATGTCTGTTACTCGTCTTGAAGTTGCTCCTCTGAAAGTGCAGGTCGCTCCGGTCCAGACTGCGCGGGTCGGCAATGGTTTCTCGGATGTTGTCCTCCAGGTACCAGCTGTTGTTCTCGTCAACGATGGTGAACATCAAGATGAAGTCCTCGCCCACGTCTTGGCGTTCGGCGGTTCCCAAAAGTAGGATTCCTCAAAAGAGTTCACAGCAGCCAAAAAATTGTTGGCTATTTTTTGTTTTTTTGTTACCAAGGATGCAACACAGAGTTTCCTGCTCACATTTACGTTTACATTTTACTCATCAAAGAGCGTGACTTTGGGACAATGGATGCTGCCTCTGCGGCCAGGTCGCTTTTGAAAAATAATTTAATACCTCAGTGGGCTTTGCCTGGTAGGATGGGGATGGTTTCGTGTTGTAATTGTGTGCGTTTGGGTGGTTTGTTTACCTCGCTTGTACTTTGCACTCCTATCACGTGTTGTTGTTGTGTTGTGTTTGTTGTAACGTTCTGACCCACCCCTACAGGCCATCTGTGAAAAAGAGCTTTATAGCTCATCGGATTCCTCCTGCAATATAAATACATATTCTGATTCTTTGCCTCCCCCTCTGCAGATTGAACGTTAGAGGAGCGGCAGGCTGTCAACTTTAAATGAACCCCTTTTGACCGCGTACACATTCGAAGAGCAAACATGTCTTCAAAAATAAGTAAAAGTACGAAGCGGTACAATAGATTTGTTTCAAAAATTGTTACGCGGTACAAGGTGTTGAAGAATCCGCAGCCTGCCGCTTAAATCGGCAGGATTGGTTAAAACGTTAAGTTTATGTTGTTTAACCAGCTGAGAACTCAGGAGACCAGGATAGTCGAGTTTAGCTGCCCTATGCTTTGCACTCCTATCGGTTTTTGTATTGCTTGTTGTTGTAACTTTCTAACCCTCCCCTATTGGACATCTGTGAAAAATAGCCTCAGAGCTCATCGGATTCTTCCGGTCGAGATAAATGATTCTGATTGCGCCTCATTTGCAAAAGTGACTCGGATCATCAAAATGTAAAAAGCAAAGCAAGCAAAAAAAAATGCAGCAGCAACAATGTAAAGTGATCAGAACAAAAACACCAATAAAACCAAAAACACTCTCGCGCTATGGAATCAAAGCTATTGCAAACACATAACTCGATATCGGTGCACAACATCTGGCATCAAACTGGCATCAAGGGTCCACGATGGTGGGATGCCAACCTCCTCGCCTGGCGTACAGGCGTCGTGGGTTCGATCTCGACCCTGACGCCTGCTGAATATTTGGAGTTTGCGTGTTCTTTCTCCCTGTGGTCACGTGGATTTTTCTCGAGGTCCTCCGAGTTGTCCCTCCACGTTCAGAATCAATGCGCATTTAGAGTATTTGGCTGCTATAAATTTCCACACGATAAGCCACTTCGTTGAGCTATCACTTGTGATGGCCAGGCCGCTTCTGAAAAAAAAGAGCTACACAGCTCAGTGGGCCTTGCCTGGTAACAAAAAAAAAGGTTTAGGTTATAGTTCTGTGTCTCTGAGGTAAAGAGATGCAGACGCATTTTACGTCGCACAGACTGTTTTACAGTTTAGATCAACCGGCAAAGCAGGGGGGCGGCACTTGCTACCTTTGCGACAGGTGAGCAGGGCCCCGATGAGGCCCGAGTTGACATCCTTGGGCTCATTGACGTGCGAGTGGTAGATCCACGTGAAGCAGTTGGGGTCGTCGCTCCCGGGCGAGGTTTCGTCCCTCACCACCCAGTGGTAGGTGTGCGTCTGGCCGGGCAGCACGAACTCGCCCTTCGAGCCGAACTCCTGCCCGTCTGGATAGTTGGCGCCTGTTAGAGAGGCGCACACGGGCGAGCTGACATCGACGACCTTCGCCACACTGTGGCCACCGGCCATTATTGTGGTCGGTTTTATGTCCGCGGACATGTGGCAGTGGTAGTTTCGCACCTAGGAGGCTTCCGCCACCAAACGTATCCATAATGGAGGTTTGTTTTTTTCTGGGTTAGATCCCGTAAATATAAATACAAGCATTTCAATTACCGGCAAGACGTCATACTCGAATTGTAAATGTTTGGGATATGCTCTCCAACACACCGGTTCTGAACTAGTCATTAATTGGCATGTTTTGTTTACGTGACAAACCTTACTAGTTGGCTGTGTCGGGTGGTGGGTTTAACAACACATTTATATTTACGCGATCTAACCCAAAAAAACTATATTATGGATTGCAGTGGTAGTTTGAGTTTACATGCAGTCAAATTATTTTAAACTTCACACGACAATTTTTTATTCACAATTACATGAGCAGAAATTAAATACGCTCATAATAACTGGAGGATATTAATCCGATTGCAGTTAGTTTCTCGAGGCAATTTAGATGGGTCATTTAAATGTAAAATTAAGAACTCTGCAAACGCGGTCACCCGGACCAGACCGTGGGACATACAATGACGCAATGCCCAATTCGCAAACATTGAGGAGGCATCCTGACGCAATTCTCTGGCTCAACCACCTCAATGTAAAATTATAGTTCTTGCTCTACACCAGGGCTCGGCAATCAAAATAACAAGAAGTGTACTTTTTTTCATTCGGTATAAAAAAAAAAAACCTGAATATTTCAAGAGTCGGAAATGCACGTGGTGAATACGAGACGGTGTGATGGCCCTTAATAAATAACCTCACAAAGCAGTCCGTCAAGAACCGCGCGGAGCCGCAATTTTTTGCCGACGCCTGCTGTGGAGAAGAAGAAGAAGAACACCTTCACCACCAGCCGACCTTCTGACGCTTTGCTGTAGAAGACGCCGTGGGGGTGCATGCTGTACGGGCGCGACGCGAGGTTCTTGAAGTAGACCGCGATGACGTCGTGCACCTCCGCCTTCATGGTGGGGCCCAGGTATCCCAGCCACGGGTCCTTGGGAATTTCTTGCGTGAAACTGCCGTCCGTGTACTGGATGTACACCGCCTTCTTGTATATCCGGCCAATGCGCTCCGGCCCCCTTTGCAGAGTCAATATGGCTTGTCTGTAACAGTTATCAGCAGTGGTAGGCGATTTGTAAACGTATCAAAACATATGCCTCGTGTAGACAAGGGGCTCTTAGGTGCCCGTATAGATTTGGGTAACGTGTATTGATGTATTTACAATTGTCGCTTTGGCTGCAATCTGATTGTGAGAAATGTATCATTTAGAAAAGTGCCCAGCTTGAGCTAAACTAGACCAGGGGATCAGCAACCTTTCAAAGAAGAGGAAGAGACATTTTTTGCAGTTTTTTTTCTTTGACCAAAATAGTTCCAGGGCCGCATCTTGCGCAGTTACTCGTACACAAATACAGACACAGCAGGTGTACAGCAGATGACAAATTCTGACTTAAATCAACAAATAGGTGATGTAAAAACTTCGTCTATTTCGTGTTTCCCCCCCTTAGTTATTTTGTATCAATGCAGTTTGATTGTTGTACATTTTGTTGTCACCAAGACATTCCACAATGACCCATTCCCTGCCATATTTAATCATATCTCTTTATGTTAAATTACGTTTTAGATTTACGGGGGCAAGGGGGCAGCCAAAGAGCCATCGCATGCGCCTCCGGAGCCACGGTTTGCCGGCCTCTGCACTAACCCGCATTCATGATGCGTGCATTTTATTTTCATTGCAACGTGAGTTCTCCACAACGCTGGCTACGCCATTCATCGTAGGTTCACTGAGGGTAATGCACAAACATAACGCGTCTCGGGCGTTCTCTGCGAGTATTACGGGACCACACTTTGCCTCGCCTGGTCAGTGCAAGTTGGTGAAGCTAGGGGCGCACAAATGAAAGAGCGAAAACGTGGATTTTGTTGCACATATATACAGTGTGGTTTTTTTTTGCGGCACATATATTCCAGGGAATTAGAACGTTATTTTCAAGTAGCTAAAACAAAAACAGGCCACAAAGTTACTATACAGCACAATGACAAAGGGTCCAAAGTGGTGACAATTACCTAAATCGCTGGGTTGGTGAAGACAAACAAACGTTGTGAAACTCCCTTCCCGTGGGCGTCAAGGTGCCATACACCTGGCTACTTGGAGAATGCAGGGCAACAAGTGGACTCATGGCCATCTGTTTCCATCTATACGGGGATAGGGTGTTGCCCCTACTTACTCACGCGGGTTTTCTCTGGGTGCTCCCGTTTCCTCCCACTTGTATAAACACGCATCATTAATTGGCTGAAAACATCTAAAGGTAAAACACCAAATGGACTCCGTGTGGCTTTCTTGGGTGAGTGAGCGTTATGAGAATGTATACATCTAAGTGTCATATGAAGTTACTACATATGACGCATAACACATAGAAAGCACACTACTGGCTGAAAATCCACGGAGCCTGAGCGATTTTTGGTGGCACCGGCTCAACGCTTGGCTACCGCCATCCAGCTCGTCTGCAGATCCTCAGCGATCGTGAGATGCAATTAAAGCGAACTACGACACTGTATAAAACTAAACGTTATTGTTATTATTACAAAAAAAATCACGTGGAAACATACTCATCGTCTGAAATGCTGATGTTCTTGATAAGATTCCTCCCCGACGGTGCGTAGTCCCAGTATATTTCCTTGGCTGCGATGTAGTACTCTCGCATCATTGCGCAGGTGAAGGCCACGTTCAGGTAGAACACGCACCACCACATCCCTGCCAAATGCATCGTCTCTAGGCAAACGGAACAAAGCAACATCACGGTTTAATCTTCCACTCATTCTATGATTCCCTGAAGAAGCTAAACATTTTTGGAAATTCACAGTATATTGGGTGAAATTCTGTGGAAATCACTAACTGAATGATAGATCATGTAACCGTTCAAAACTGAGACAATTTCCATGATACACGCTTGCTAATGGAAGATAACACATACAAGAACTGTATTCATGAACTTGTAAGATCTACCACAGCTTGAGTTTTGCTAAAATTGCTAAATTTTCTCGAGGCAATCTTGCACAGTGGACCTGGGTGGAAAGGCTAGGGACGCGTTGTCACCTCGTCAAAACGGTTGGAACGCAATCGTTGTCCGAGATTGTTGGTCCTGGTGACATTGGCATATTTTTTGCCAAAAATCTAACCTGAAGGATACGTCTTGTTAAAAGGACCTGGATTGTTAATTTTAAAAAAATCTCATGGGGCTGCTTTCGTGCGAATATAACCGATTCACACCATATACTTTATTTAGAAACATTTTTGAAAGAAAATAATAACCCAAATACAGTTCTTGCAATTTGTAAAAAAAAAATACGTAAAATGCATGTCGCATTTCTCTTGTAACTATGCCTAAACAGCTCAGTGTTTTTATTATAAACAGGTCTTCACGAATCATTTCAGTTAACAATGTCTGGTAAACGTTTGGAAAAAAAAACATTCCATAATAACCGAGAGAAAAAAAATGTCGTGTAAAATCAACCTGCAACAGAACGATCGCTTTCGAAACTCACCACGCAGAAGAGCCCACGTGACGCTTACCTCTGTTCTCGCTCGGATGAGTGACACTGCTAAGTGAGCCCCACACCTCCTGCGTGGTGAGCGATGTTCCGCACGCCTTCGGTGAGCAGGATAAGGGGGTCGGCCTTTTACGACACGTCACAACACCTACCTACTATTGTTATGAGCGTTACGCGGATCTTTAAACTTAACTGTGCAAAATATGTATTTCACCAGGTTAAGGCACATTGGGTTATATGGCTCTTTTTAAGAAGCGACCTGTCTAGCACAAATTATATCTCAACGAAGTGGTTTATCGCGTGGACATTTCTCGCAGCCAAATACTCTGAAAGCATGTTGATTTTAAATGTGCAGGGGGAAAAAACCGGAGGACACGGAGAAAAATCGACGTGACCACGGAGAGAGAGACACGCAAACTCCTAATATACAGGCGTACAGGGTCGGGATCGAACCCACGACCTTCTTCTGTATACTAGACGAAGTAGTTAACATTGAGGTCAGTCCTCGTTGATTCACCGCTTGGTCGATCCACTGCTGGTTATTAGCAGATTTAAAAAAAAAGTGCCAATTGCCTCGGCATTGGATACTGCACACGACGTGTGTACCTCTCGTGTTGCTACGAATGACTCGCTTTGGAAGCGTTGTCAAAACCAGATTTCAAACATTTTAACGTTGATTGCGTACGCACAACACCTGGGACCCAATCAGCGATGGATTAAAAAAACGAGTGACGCAGAACATCCAGCCTCATCAGTTGCGGATTATCGAGCTGCTGATGAAGACGCGGGGCCTAATTGGTGGATCAAGCTTTTGGGCGTTGCTCGAACAAGAGGTGGAATTGGAAATGCAGCTTACCGGTCACCGTGGGAGTCTTGTCAGACAAACAGCTCAGATTTCCCCCCCCCCTCCTCCAATGTTCTCTTATTAGTTTGTTCAAGAAACTCACCGTTGTATTTACACAGGGCCTGTCAGACACGTCGTGCTCACATCCACTTAGGTCCCACGACAGCCGTTTTGGTTAATGGCATCAAATCCATCTACAGGCCCGTATTCATGTATTTAGCAAAAACTGGTAGTGGATATGAAAATATATTGGCAATTTTCCACCGATTAAAAATCTACTTCATTTAGGCTGCGGTTTACGCGCCTTTGCAGACAAGCAAAATAGGTGAAACAGACATCACCTTGAAAGGAGGTGAATCGGAGAGTGGTAGGAGTGGGGCCCATGAGTTTCACCTGGGCCTGCTGGTAACCTGAGTCCCAAACAGGGAAGTAGTGCAATGTAACAGACGTAGTAGTAATAAATAAGTACATTATATATAGCGTAGTGCATGCAAAACTACATCTGACAACGCTGTATAAGACAACAGCTAAATTTATGGCAAAAACACGCAGTGCACCCAAACAAAGGGACAGCTCAATGAAAGGCCGTAGTAAACAAAAGTGTGTTTTAAATTGGGACTTAAATAGAGGAAGGGACGTAAGTTGACTTTCCCGTGAACCTGAAACTCAAAGCTGGTGGATATGCCGTACTGTAGTCTGCCATGGGGAAATTTGTTCCACCTGGTACATACAATTGTGGTACAAAACACCTTTCTGATGCAGTTACTTCTTATTGTACCAGGCCAAATCTCTTCCCGCCAGCGTGAATGCATTTTCTGCCAGGCAAAAGATGCTGCTGCTGCTGCTGTTGCTTTGGGTAAAACTTTTGGTGGAGAGTAACGTCGCAAGCCTTATTTTGCCCTTACCATGCTTTGTAAATCAGGTAAGAATCATTAATCGGGTAAATGGATTTTCCCCTTCACAAGCTCTCGACAAAGCTGTTCTGTAATCCTGACCACTTTTGCAGTTTGATTGAAAGTGACCAAGGATGAAGATGATTTCCACACGCCAGTGCCACAATTTGCATGGAAACCTTAAAAATGAATGCCCCACTTAGGCTTCTGAGATTTTTTGCAATATTTAAACCACACATTATTCAGAAAGTCTGTAATTTTTTCTCCAAAAGCAATATTTTATTAAAAGGTACAAATGCACAGCAGCACTCTGCAAGGGCACAACTGGAGAAAAACACCAGCAAATACAAAAACAGGACATCTCTGCGACTCTTTCAACAAAACTAGATATGTCGAGAAATACTAAATAATAATAAAAAAATATTTTAAGAACGAAACTGAGTTTAAAAATAATCAGGAAATAATGAAGAGACTGGTAAGAAGACAGTATCGTTGTTTTAAGCATACAGAATGTAATGGAGGAGACACAAGGGAAGCTCAAGATGACGAGGAAACAATGGAAGGAACTGGATTAAAGTCAAAACTTTAACGGCAGTAAATGATGCGTCAATATACAACTCCAATAAGGTGCATATTCATGATCAAGAACCAGAATAATGATAAAATGAGGAAAATGTTAAGAGATTGCTTTATCCGATGCAGTGTGACTCCACTAAAGATGTGTACAATATATACGCATGAGTCTTAGGGGTGCAGCCACTGTGTATGTGGAACTTCTTTCACACCGTACGTAGCCAACCGTGCTAATCGGAGGTGGATGTCATTTGTGTCCAGACACTCCCCAACTTTCTTAGACGAGCCTCGAAAACACACAAACACACACACAAGATGTTGGACAATTCATGGTATTTGTGGAGTACAGTCTGTTCTCCTTTAACATGTAGTCCTGAAAAGGAACCACGTTATGAAAAAATCCCGTTATAATAAATAACATGCAATATATGGGGAAAGCACGGTCCACAATAACACGCGAGATGCGTACGCAGGCTGAACAAAGACCGAGGCGCGTGAGTAGCATCTCGAAGCATCCAGCAGCATCCCAACGCCTTGTGCGATGCTACGGCGAGGCAGCCGTACAACCGCTTATTCCTACTCGCGCGACGTAGTTCTGTTCACTCAATCGCGCTGTATCCAATTCGCGTTATAACAACACGCGGCGCTACAGGAGAACAGACTTCATTCATGAATTCAGACACTCATTCGTAACATGCATTTAGAAATCCGTGCATGAGTGTAGTTCAACCGCAGCTTGTGCAATGCATGCCTGCTGCACCCCACTGCCCGCACTGCACCCCGCGTGCCAGGAATAACAACGCAGCGATCCAGCTTCCTAGGATTTATCCGCAAATCTTCCGCGGACGAGAGGGGTTTGGTGGGAAATACGCATCTATTATGGGCTGGGAAAAGCTGTACGAATGCTATTCGGGAATTTGTGAGCGGAACATCATTAGCTTCGCTTTATACTCATGGATACGTGGAGTATAATGGTGCACTCATGATGAACTGTAGCATCCGTGAAAATTGAAGTCATCGAATCGGGACGGATGAGGGGAGTTCTATGCAGGGGCAAAACGACATATTTCACCGGGGGGGCTATGCAAGATGCGACTGTCGGCCTCCCTCCTTTCTCCCGACTGAGGTTTACTGAAATAGCATCCCTGTGCAATCCCTTATCGGTGACAATATTGTTCACCCCGTGGTGCCTTCATAAATTTCAACGTTCATCCTATACACTACACTGCACTTTACACTGCACTATACACTGCAATATACAGTGCACTATATACTACAGTATACACTGCACTATACACTACACTTTACACTGCACTATATACTACACTATACACTGCACTATACACTACACTTTACACTGCACTATACACTGTACTATACACTGCACTATACACTACAATTTACACTGCACTATATACTACACTATACACTGCACTATACACTACACTTTACACTGCACTATATACTACACTATACACTGCACTATACACTACACTTTACACTGCACTATACACTGCACTATACACTGCACTATACACTACACTATACACTGCACTATACACTACACTATACACTGCACTATACACTACACTATACACTGCACTATACACTACACTTTACACTGCACTATACACTGCACTATACACTGCACTATACACTACACTTTACACTGCACTATATACTACACTATACACTGCACTATACACTACACTTTACACTGCACTATACACTGCACTATACACTGCACTATACACTACACTATACACTACACTTTACACTGCACTGTACACTGCACAATACACTGCACTATACACTACATTATACACTACACAATACACTGCACTATACACTACACTATACACTGCACTATACACTACACTTTACACTGCACTATACACTACACTATACACTACACTATACACTACACTGCACTATACACTGCACTATAC